TGACGACCGGAAGTGACGGCTGACGCGTCTAACCATATGTGTTTTGCCTACTCCTCAAGGTCTATTACTCATTTAAGTTTGGTGTCTTAATCTCATACATTTTCATTTTCGTTTGCATAAACATGTCTTTTCCAACGTCGGTATAAGCGTAAAACTTATGTAGAAACATAATAACTTAAAAATAAAAATACTTTTTTCTTCATTTCCTGTCACGACCGGAAGTAATGACGACATACGATTTTTACACGATGCAAATGAACTGATGACTGACTATAAGTCCTGAAAGTTTTAGACTTCAGTCTTTTACTCTTACCGAGCAATTGTGAGAACACATTCTAATTTTGGGGACAGGAAAACACACGACCGGACGTGAACTGAATAAAAATCTCTGAATTTTCTCTTGACATTTGTAGTATCTACAGCATATGTATAAAAAAAAACATTTCAAATACTTATCTGTAAGTGATATTTATGAGAAAGCTAAACATCGAAATAACGTAGTTTATCTGTTTAAACCGGAAGTTTAGTTTTTGTTTCCGGTGGAATCTAACATATTTTAAAACACGAAAGAGATGCAACAAAGTGATGCAAGTTTTACTTTTATAAAGAAAAGTTGAAATTTTCGATTTTTTGATCACTTCCTGTGACGACCGGAAGTGACGGCTGACGCGTCTAACCCTATGTGTCTTGCCTACTTGTCAAGGTCTATTACTCATTTAAGTTTGGTGTCTTAATCTCATGCCGTTTCCGAGATCTCGCTGAGATAACTTTTCATTTTGAGGACAGGAAAAACACGCGACCGGAAGTGAATTTTACTAAGATTTTTGACGTTACTCTAGACATTTGCAGTCTGAATAACATATCTAAAAATCTTTTCAAATACTTGATCTATAAAAGATATTTAAGGGAAAGTAAATTACTCAAATTATGTAGTTTTCCTCTTCTAACCGGAAGTTGTCGTTTTTGTTTCCGGTGGGACTGACATATTTCGAAACTACACATGAGATGCAATAATGTGATGCAAAAAAAAATTCAGAAAAGAAAAGTTGAAATTTTCGATTTCTTTGATCACTTCCTGTGACGAGCGGAAGTGACGGCTGACACGCTTAACCCAAATGGGCTCGCCTACTCCTCATGATCTATTACTCTAATAAGTTTGGTGTCTTAATCTCTTACCGTTTCTGAGATCTCACTCGGAAAAAATATTTTTGAAAAAAACGGAAATCGGACATATCTGACGACCGGAAGTTAATTTCGAAAAAATGAAAAAAACGCCTCGGGGTATTTTCATTCTCTATCAACCCTGAAAATTTCAGGAAAATCCATCCAGCCATCTCTGAGAAATCCTGCCGACAAAAAAAGGGGAAAAAAATTATAATAATAATAATAATAACTAGAAACTCATTACTAGTAATGAGAAGGTCTTCCGTTATACGACTTCCTGTTTGCATGAACATGTCTTTTCCAACGTCGGTATTAGCCTAAAACTTATGTAGAAACCAAATAACTTAAAATATACTTTTTTGCTTCGTTTCCTCTCACGACCGGAAGTAATGACGACACACGATTTTTACACCAAGCAAATGAACTGATGACTGACTATAAGTCCTGAAAGTTTTAGAGTTCAGTCTTTTACTGTTGCCGAACAATTGTGAGAACAAATTCTAATTTTGAGGACAAGAAAACACACGACCGGAAGTGAACTGAATAAAAATCTCTGAATTTTCTCTTGACTTTTGCAGTATCTACAGCATATGTAAAAAAAAAAAAAAAAAAAAAAAAAAAAAAACATTTCAATTACTTATCTATAAGTGATATTTATGAGAAAGCTAAACCACGAAATAACGTAGTTTATCTTTTAAAACCGGAAGTTTAAAGTTTTTTTCCGGTGGAATTTAACATATTTTAAAACAGCGAAAGGGAAGCAATAAAGTGATGAAAATTTTAATTTTAAAAAGAAAAGTTGAAATTTTCGATTTCTTCGATCACTTCCTGTGATGACCGGAAATGACGGCTGACGCTTTTAACCCTATGTGTTTTGCCTTCTCACCAAGTTTTATTACTCCTACAAGTTTGGTGTTTTACTTTCATGCCGTTTCCGAGATCTCGCTGAAATAACTTTTCATTTTGTGGACAAGAAAACACGCGACCGGAAGTGAATTTTATTAAGATATTTCATGTCAATCTAGACAACTGCAGTCTCAATAACATATATAAAAATCATTTAAAGAACTCTATCTATAAGCGATATGTTGGGGGAAATTCAAAACCCCTATTATGTAGTTTTTCTCTTAAAACCGAAAGTTGTCGTTTTTTGTTTCCGGTGGAACCAAGACATCTCGTAACTGTGAAAAAGATACAATTATATGATGCAAGTCTTATTTCAAAAGAGAAAATTTGAAATTTTCGATTTCTTTGATCACTTCCTGTGACGACCGGAAGTGACGACTGACGCTCTTAAGCCAAATTGTTTTGTCTACTTCTCAAGGTTTAATACTCTTATCAGTTTGGTGTCTAAATCTCTTACCGTTTCTGAGATCTCACTCGGACAAGTTCTCATTTTGCGGACATTTAAACGCGCGACCGGAAGTGAATTTTACAAAGATATTTGACGTTACTCTAGACATTTGCAGTCTTGATAACATATTCAAAAATCAGTTCAAATACATTATGTATAAAAAATATTTATGGGAAAGTAAAATACTCAAATTATGCAGTTTTTCACTTATAGCCGGAAGTTGACGTTTTTGGTTCCGGTAAGACTAACATATTTCGAATCTACAAATAAGATGCAACAATGTAATGAAAGAAAAAAATCAAAAAAGAAAAGTTGAAAATTTCGATTTCTTTGATCACTTCCTGTGACGACCGGAAGTGACGGCTGACGCTCTTAACCCAAATGGTTTTGCCTACTCCTCAAGATCTATTAACCGTATAGGTTTGGTGTCTTAATCTCTTACCTTTTCTGAGATATGACTGGGACAAAATATTTTTGAAAAAAACGGAAATCGGACATATCTGACGACCGGAAGTGAATTTTGAAAAAATGAAAAAAACGCCTAGGGGTATTTTCATTCTCTATCATCCCTGAAAATTTCAAGAAAATCCGTCCAGCCATCTCTGAGAAAACGCTCCGACAAGAAAAGGGGAAAAAAAAAATAATAATAAAAAGAAACAGTAGAATCACTATAAGGTCTTTCGTCTGAAACGGAAGACCTTAAAAAGAAACAGTAGAATCACTATAAGGTCTTCCGTCTGAAACGGAAGACCTTAATAAACACTACAATCACTATAAGGTCTTCCGTCTGGAACGGAAGACCTTAATAAACAGTACAATCACTATAAGGTCTTCCGACTGAAACGGAAGACCTTAATAAGAAACAGTAGAATCACTATAGGTCTTCCGTTGAAAACGGAAGACCTAATAATAATAATAATAAGAAACAGAGTAAAAACAATATGTTCCCAAACTCCGTTTGGGGAACATAATAATTAAGCGCATCTCTGATAAATGCACAAACGATCTGCTAAAAAAATAACTTTCTATCTTGAAATCTGTAGGAGGAGTTATCCAGACAAATGATGTACCATATAAAAATATTTTGCATAAAATTGACAGGTTCAATAGCTGGTATTTTTTCAATAATTATCAAAAATAAAATCAAAGTACCATGCATATCTCTGATGTATGTATAAATGATCTACGAAATACGAACTTCCTTTCTTAAAATCTGTAGTAGAGGTGATCCGGACAAACGATGTACCCTGTAAACAATATTATGCACAAAAAAGACTGAGTTTGTTCAAGAAATAGTGTTTTTCTCATTAATTATCAAAAATCAAGACCCAAGTACCATGCTCATTCTGATATTTATATCATCAGTTTGTCAAATGATCTTTGGAGAAGATTTTCAATGATGCACAGAATTTTTAATATATGACCAACTTAGCCCAACCCTAGGGAAAGAACATTGGACTCTGGAGACATAAATTCATTGCAAATGTGCAAACAGTTTGCCTGCTAGATGTCAATGAGTAAAGCTGGGACTTGCACAGTTAACCGAGAGGACATGAATTTAACAATTTTGGTAACGAATTAAGTACACGTCGTATTCATATTATCAGTATGCCCAGTATATGTCCTTGGGAAAAGAAACCTTTCCAAAATGCAAAGAAATTTAAAAATATGACCATCTTAGACCCCTCCTTGGACCTAAACATTGGACCCTGGAGTCATAAATTCATTGCAAGTGTTGTTCAAACAGTTTGCGAGATGTGAATGAGTAAATGAGAATATTTTCAAAGGTATAATTCAAACCAAACATTGTCCCACCCTTGACCTGAACTGTGGGTCACAGAGCCATGAATATCCCTTTTTGTGGAGAGCTTAGTTTTTATCATAATCTTAGAAACTATTTGCTTGCTTAATGACCATGAGAAGAGAAGAGGATTTTCAATATAGGATCAATTAAGCCCCTCCCAAAGGCCTGAACTATGGATCCATGTGCCATGAATTTCGTTATAATACTCCTTATTCACGGATTGCGTCATCTAATCTCAAAACGAGGCTATGAACGCAAACAAGATGGCGAGTTCGAGTAAGGCATGTGCGAACTGTACGGGTACAGCTTATCATTGTTGTGTCCCATTGTGCAATAATGATTCCCGGTATGACAGCAACAGAGAATTATCCTTCCATAAGTTTCCTACCGATAAAATTAAAAGGAAAGAGTGGATAATTAAAATTCGAAGGGATGTAGGTCAAACCTTCAGAGTAAGTATGCCACGAAGTTGACAAGTGTTGACTTTCGTAAATAATCAATGCTTGAAAAAACAAAAGATAGATCAACTTTTAAACCATTCAATCAAAGTTCGAGGATTGTTGTAAGCATATTTCATAAGTTCATTTGCAGATGATTACGATATTTTATATGCATTTATGTATTTGTAATGAGCAAATTCGGAACACAAATCAGTTAAATTATCGTATGATTTTTTTTCTTAGATATCCGATGCTACCAGGGTATGTTCAGCACATTTTCTACAAACCGAAGTACGTCGGTCCTTAAATGGTAAACGACTTCTAAAGCCAGGGAGTGTACCAAGTATATTTGCTTGGAATTCCCCAGTAAAAAGAATCAGGCCACTAAGGAGATCATTGAAAAACATGTAAGTTGATATGGTTCTAAAGAATAAGTCGAAAATGTTAGAAGTTTATAGATGAACTGTTGTGATAATATTACAAGAAGGTATTGTTAAAATGTACTGATATACTTTAGAAATTTAAAAATACCTAAAGAAAGTGATACATTGATTACGATAAAATTTGTTGACATGTATCGTCATCTTCATTCGAGCGATCAAGTGTGGGGGTGCTGAATGGGCAGAGAATAGTGCCCCACCCACATTTTTGAAATATTTATGGTACAAAGAAAGAGCAGGCAGAAGATGATTGAATTGAATCTAGTATCCCAGTCTCTAATGTTTTTATTGATTTATGTTTTTAGTATGTTAGCACCTCCCCAATTTTTAGGTTTTCACCCCTCCCCATATATGCTCCCCTCTAATATGTTTGTGCTGCTTCCTTAGGTTTGTAACTCAACATTGATATTGTTTTCATTTAGGTCACCAGCAAAGTCTGCAGAGGACAGCATTGAGGAAGCACCTGAATTATTGTCCATTTCTGTGGATCAGACTCCACCTGTGTCAAATGACCATGACTACATAATCCATACTTCAGTCAACAACCAACTGCAGGCAGCCCAAGAAGAAATCGTGAATTTACAAAGAAAACTTGTGGCGGTGGAAAGGAGACTTTTTTCTTTGGAACGATTCACTACAGATCCCCAATTGATAAACTTTTATACTGGTTTTAAAGATTATGAAACCTTAAAATGTTTGTATAATGCACTTCAGCCAACAGCAGCAACAATGATTAGATGGACACAAATGCAAAGACATTCTTCAAATACAGAGAACATGAAGTTGAATGCTATTCGTAATGAAGCATTGCCTCTCATAGATCAGTTCTTTATGTTCCTTTGTAGAGTGCGACAGGGATTTCCAGAACAGGATTTGGCTGTTAGATTTAACATATCTCAACCTTCAGTTAGTAGAATTTTAATAACTTGGTCTAATTATTTATATACGATGCTGGGTAGTTTACCCATTTGGCCACCTCGTTGTGTGATTGACAGTAACATGCCTAAATGTTTCAAGGAGTCTTATCCCCATGTTAGAGTCATCTTGGATTGTACAGAAATTAAAGTTCAAACTCCTAGCTCAAAAGTGTTAAATTCTGAAACTTACTCTAATTACAAGAGTCACACAACATTTAAGAGCTTAATTGGGATAACTCCATGTGGTGCTGTGGCATTTATTAGTTCATTGTATACAGGTAGCATTAGTGATAAAGCTATAACTGCATTGTCAGGAATTTTGGACCTGTTAGAGCCTAACGACCAAGTAATGGCTGACAAAGGGTTTTTGATAGAAGACTTATTAGACAAAAAACAAGCATCTTTGATAATACCTCCTTTTCTCGGTGAAAAGGGTAAATTTTCTGCTAGTGAGGTAGCACAAACACATGAAATAGCACGGCTTCGTATTCATGTAGAACGAGCCATAAGGCGTATAAAAGAGTATCACATATTTGATGGGGTCATCCCTCTAAATTTAGCTGCATCCATTAATCAGATATGGACAGTTTGTGCAATACTGACAAATTTCAGGGGGCCTTTATTCTAGTTCAAAAGTTACATCAATCCAATATATGCAATTTGTTTGATTATTTTGAAATGTAAATACTACTCTGCATTTGATATGCTCTTTCACATTCAGTATTACTGTATTAGACTGGAGACAGTGGTCATCAACAAGTATTGTAGTCAGGGTTACTACTGATTGTGTAGCATTACAGCTTTTCAGTGCAAATTATGTATTTTACTTTGTATACAACCTTTTTCATATGAATTCAAATGAAATAAATGATAAATGTGCATGTATTTTTTAAAATTTATTCTGCCAGGAGTAGATAGGTATGTTAAATTGAAATGATTAAATTTTAATATGAATTGAAAATTATTTGTTACACTTCTGCAAAAAAAAATCAAAGTGGCATCTATTGAAATACTAATATTAATGTAGTCTTAAAAAAGTTTTACAATAAATGGCAGTTTCTCAGGCATTAAACAAAACTGTTACAGTAGTACATGTACATGCATTTACAATGTATGTGAAATTACACACAAAAGCATTGTTAAATTCTTATTGTTATGTTCAATCAATTCTGAACAATATTTATTGTCATTAATGTCAAGTAAAAAAAAGACTACTTCATTTTAAGAATTTCGGACAAGAAATAACTGAAGTAAAATCTGTCCAGAGACAACTTGATTTCTTCCCACTTCTCTGCATTAAAGTTAATCCTCTCCTTGTGGTAATCATGTCTACATTTCACAAAAAAGTCGCACCACTGGAGTCCAGTAAGACCCATCTGCCCCATCACTTGGTAATAGTATTGATGAGATTGCTTCAGTTTGTAAGTCCCATCATTGGTAATTTTAAGGTATATACATTCCTGGAAAGAATCTTTGTCGGGACATTTGATCTCCAGAAGCCCAAACTGTGGTGTAGAATTTGGATCAAAAATCTTTCTGTCAGGAGATGCTCCAAGGTATGGAGAACTAGGGTTAATTACAAAACCACACAAGTAAACATTATTTCCAGTTATATCTGAATACAATTTAGCTGCAGCAGGTTCATTTTCCAAGCCAAATTTCATTGCTGCAGTTTGAATATTTTTGCTCTTTAAAAGACGCACTGCCAGTTTTTCATGATTTGCCCTCCTGACGCATATGTCTTTAAACATGGTAGAGGTGATCCTGTGGCATCGAATTTCATGCCATAATTTAGTAGCACTCTGTGAGCGAGTCTGCTCTTCTAATTCTAGTGCATGAGTTCGATCAGTCTGCATGCCCATGAAAATGTCATACTCAGCACAGTTCAATACTCTATTATAGTGATCAGGTTGTTCTGGTAGTAAAAATTCTGGGAAAGTTTGTTGTTCATTGTCATTGATTATATCACCAATTTCAGTAAGTGGTTTTTGTTGGTAAGAAAGCACAGATCCTTTCGGTACTGCTCCAAACTTGGATGGCGACTCTTTGACATCTGAATGGGATAACGTGCGTAAAATCTGTGCATCACTTTTCATTGCCGAGAGTTGCTCAAGCAGTGTGCTTGTGAACTGTGCACTTGGAATCGACTGAACTGGACAGTAAAGGTTTGGTAAGACTCCCTCGGTTACTCGCCTTTTCTTCTTGGGTGGTTCCTTTTTAGGGTTCACCTGTAAAATTATTTTAAAAAATATCACATTTACCAATATACAATATTTAATTAATATACTTTTCTGTAAATCAGTCTCGCCAAGGACAATTTGTTAAAAAACACTATTACCCTCTAAACAATGAAACCAGGCCCAGCAGCATGATTGAACGTTGCAATCAACATTGCTTGACAAAGGTGACATTAGGAAAAATGCTGAGAATGTGCAGAATTTATGTGTGCATAGCTCTGCTATATGTATTTGAAAAAACATTCAGTATAATATAAATTAAATTAATGTTATATTTATAAATATTTATAATATTAATATATTATATTGTATATATATAGATATACATGTATATATTATATATATATATATATATATATATATATATATATATATATATATATATATATATATATATATATATATATATATATTAACATAATTAATATTTATACATATAACATTGAGAATTTTACCCCTCAAAAACCATTCAATTGTCAACAAAGCCAGGTACAGCATTTGTTGACAATAGATTTCTTGGGTGAATATTTTCAATGTTATCTTAACTACATGCAATATTTATATGATTTAAAATAAAATTAATTAATTATATTTTTTATTCAAAAATACCTTGCAAATTTCCAAACTATGTACTGGCTTTGGTTCCAATCCCTCTGTTCTCTGGGGAATATGCCAGGTCTGTGGCAAAGATGTTTTACTCTGCATTGGTGGTACAGCCTTCAATCCGAGTCTTAAAGCATAAAAATAACCAATTTTTCCCTCAAGCAATTAAATTTTTCAAAACTAATTTTCATAGGCTATTGGTGTAATTGAAACAGATTAACTACCAGGATTATTTTTAAGATTTCTATTATAAGCTTCTTCACTTTAGTTAAGCATGGTTTTGATAAATTAAAAGATGGAAGTTGTCATTATAACTGTAATTTTATGAAAATTACTCCAACATGTGAGAAATTTGCATATTTGATACCTTTGGTAGTGACACAAAAGGTACAGTAATCCTATGCAATGACTGCAGTGCCCATTTCCAGCTTTACACTCACACTGTGAAAGCAAAATGACTGAGGATGTTTTACACAATTCAACCTATAAAAGAAAAAAAAATTGTAACTTATTTTAAAAAGAATTTCAATATATGTACAGACTGTACTTGTCTACCTAAAAAAACCAAACAAACAAACAAACAAACAAAAAAGAAAAAAAACATAAATGATATTGTAGAGTAGCAATATATCAGTTAGACCAATCACAGTGTAAACAGTGGTTATTAATGTAATTTAGGCCCCATTCATTGATCAAGTAGTACTAAATATTTATATTTAAAAATATATAAATATTTAACATTCAGTTCATGATCTTTAAAAATATAAACAACAAATTATTTACCAATTTAATCTCCCTGGCATTCAAGTACACTCGAGTATCATACATATTTGTATTTCATAGATTGAAATAAAAGAAACGCATGATGAACCAAAAAAAAAACAAAACCCAATTTAAATGACAATTGGCAAATACAATGATTCTTAGTCAAAATCATATTATTTTTTAATTACTTAGAAAATTTTGAATATTTTTTAGTAATTATTTTCATAACATTTTCAAATTATTCAGGAAAAGGAAGATAATATAATAACATGCCTCTGAGCTGCAACAGAAAAAAATAAGGCAATTAAAAAAAAAAAGAACCAACCAACCAACTAACAATCGATAACAATTAAACTTCTGAACTAGCCAACCATCAATTTATATGGTGGGTTATTTTTTCTCATGGATGGGAATGCCTTGGCTCTGGCACGAACAACATCCTTGCATGTTTGTACTACAGACAAGACACAAAAGTATTAAAAAAAACTTTAACAGATTTACATTTAACCTAAAATAAATACGATAATGCAATGCATGTTTACACCATCAGCAGATCAGCGGTAATATTCCAGCGGAACATTTCCCGAGGAAATTCGGTCAATACCAGTGTACCCTGTTAAATGCTCGTCACTTGTAAATTGTATTTTTCTTTAAGCATTGCCGATAAATAACAATGCACATTGTTTTCGTTTTATCATATTAGCTAAGTTATGCATTTGAAAAAAAAATATCATCCAACTATATTAATAAGGCCTACAACAACATTGTCATGATTATGATGCTTGTAAACACGATCAAGAGCAGGCACTTACTTTCGACTTCATGTACATATCCTTCATGAAGTTGCCATAACCCTTTTTCTGTTTTGATCGAGGTATTTTCGCCGTCTCATTGGCCCAGTTCTCAATTTTATCTTGTGTCAGCGGTGGGACGAACTGTAGGTTTTTACTCCATGCTGCCATGTTTGCGTTCCCAGCCTCGCTTTGGATTCAAAATGGCCGCGGTGTGAATAACAAGTATCATGCGAACAGTTTGCTTTCGATGCTCATGAGTAAAAAAGGACTTATAAGATATAATGGATTTTGTATTCTGTTGGTATTCTTTTTAATATAAATGACCATCATATCCTGGAGCCTGGAGGATATGAATTTCACAATTTTGTAAAAAGGTGTATTCTGTATTCATGAGAAAAATTGCCTGGTAGAAATACATGAGTAAAGAAAAAGATTTAATCAGATATTATGACTAATTTAGCCTCATCCTGGAATATGAGGTATGGGTAACCCAGAGGCCGTAAATTGAATATTTTTTTTGGATAAAAAGGATGAAAACTCACTATAATCCATCCAATGTCTGCTAGATGTCCTTGAGTGAAGATTTCCAAAGGTGTGGAGTATTTTTAATATATGACTAACTTAAATGCAGCCAGGGGCCTTAATTATGGTCTGAAATAAACCGAATTTCACAATTTTGGTAAAAGGTTAAATACTCATTATATCAGACTGATATTTTGCCTGCTAAGGAAGACGAGTCTTTAGATAAATTGCATTTTCAAAATAGGACGGACTAAACCCCAACGTGGAGCCTGAAATCTGCACCAATGGGTCATGATTTTTTTTGGTCAAGGGCTCATTGTTTATTACAATCATGCCAACAGTTCGCCTGAAAAAAAAATCCTGCAATAAAGAAGAAAGTTTTTGCAGATTTCCCTATTTTTGGAAGTTTTCAGCCCCTCCCCTAGGACCCCCAGGGGCACAAAAAATTTTAAGTTTACAATTTAAGTTCGTGTTATATTAAAGATTGGCCTTCTAGTTCTTAAGAAGGTTAAAAATGATGTTCAATAAGTATCAGACGACACCAGACTGAAACCAAAAGCAAAAGATCAGGTACCCCCAAATTACAACATGGCAATTACATCAGTGTCTTTTTCGTAACTTTCTTATAAAGATTGCAGGTGTTATTGTAATAGTGATAGTTTTATGTTGTTTTAATTATTATGATATTCAAATGTATAATTTATTAATTATACATTTATGAATATGCCACAACTGATTTTAAACTCTGAAGTGCATGTATTAATCTGTGTGTCAATCATTATTGACAAAGACAAATAATTTAAAATCAAATATCAATAATATTTAATAAAATAATTTATCAAATAAAATAATTAAATAAATTAAATAAAACAAACTAATT